AATCATAAATTTAATGTATTATTCTCGTATTTGTTGAGTAATATGAAACAATGGGTGCTTTCCAGCTACGTACAGTCGACACTGTGTAACACAATGTCCTCTAGTGTGAATGAGATACACCGATATGCTCTTTCTCACGCTAATAGACAGTATGTTATACATTTAACTTTAATTTTCTCAAAAATTTGACGTGTTCGTCAAGTCGATTTCGCCACCGGATTCGTTTTCAGTGACCAAAAATCCATTACAAAACACTTTGTTTATTCAAGTATCAGCATATATTAACAAAACATTTATTCGCGTTGTAAAAATGTACTTTAAATTATATTTAAGAATAATAAGAAAAGTATTTTTATTTATTGTTGCAGGTACATGCAACATTTTACTGAAAATGTTGCATTGCAACATTTTTAGTAAAATAATAATTAAAATAAATAATAAATTAAATGTAGAGAATAAATAGATAAAAATAATTATATGTTAGTAAGGAACACAAGTGGTTTCGCGGACTGAGTGCAGGGGCTGCGAATATGGAGGTCTCGAGTTCAAATCCCGCTATCACATTTAGAATTTTTTCAGATTCGGTCTTTTTCATTGGAGTTCATCGGTTGATCAACGAGCTGAATCAGGCTTCTAGAAATTAATTCGAGTGAAATCTCGAATTAATTCCTTTCCGATAAGGCGATATACCACTGATTTTCTTTTTTTGTTTTTGTAGTAATTCCACTTGGATTCTAGGGAACAGATCTGATCTGCGTTTGGTAGCAATCTGTCGACGTTTCTGACGACAAATTTGGTCTGTACTTGCTACTGTTTTGTTAACAGTGCTGGTAACAGATATGATGTGTATTTGGCGCGATTTTGGCGCCAACAAACAATCACCAAATCTGTTCTGGATTTGGTGCATCACTTTGGCTTTGCTTTGCTAGTGGCAGACTTGTTATGATTTTGGTCTCATTTTGACATCTCACATGTTTGACAGGTATGGTCGCCAAACCATATCCTAATGAGGACACAGATGGATATGGATTTGGTCTATTAATTTCGCCAGCGGTCGGCGACAAAACTGCGACATCTCGCAACCAAATTGTTTGCCGGGATATTAAGCAAGATCTGCGCAACACGACACAGCTTTGCTTGGTTTTTGCCAGCAAGTTGCTGTTATGTTTTATCAACAAGCTTGAATATATTTTTGTTAGCAATTTTGCAACATTGCCAGACAAAACAAACTCTGCATCATATTTGATGTTTTTCTGCTAATAAAATTTGTAACAAGCATTTGGCAAAATCTGTTTCGACAGATTTGGTTATCTGGAAATATAAACCGCCTAAATAAATTCATTAAAACAAATAAAGACACAGTATCTATTAACAGTCATAAGAACGTTGTTTATAGAATTTCCTGCAATTCTTGCAATTCGAAATACATAGGACAAAGAAAAAGACAAGTGAAAACCCGAATTAAAGAACATTCTAATTGTGTAAGGAAAGAACAAATTGAGACCTCCGTTATAGCTAACCACTATCACCAAACGGGACACACATTTTAATGGAACACGAGAAAAATAGTAGATTCAGAACCTAATTATTATAAGAGACTGACATCTGAGATGTTACACATAAAAAGCGAGAACTGTAGTTTAAACATCATGAATGACACCAAACTTTTAGATAGAACGTACTTACCGATAATAGATAAAATTAAAGATTTACAATACAGAGAGAGCCTTTCTCTCCTCCTATATATATATATATATATATATAATTTAACAATATACCTGATCACTTCTAGCAATGTCAGATCAGAAGTAACACAGTGCGTTACTTCAGTGACTTCTTTGCACTTTTAAATTTGTAACTTTTTAAAAAAAATGTTTTTTTATGTAAGATCCTACATTAATTATTGTAACATTTTTATTTTTAACGATTTGTATTATATAACTATATGTGATCACTTTCTCGTTGTAAGCCAAGTATTGTACTATATTGCGGTATATCTACTGAAGTTGACCTAATAAATAAGGTCGAAACGTTTAGAAAAAAACACATCTCTATATCATTCGCACAAGCTCCTGCATCTTGGTTCTATATAGCCAATTTATTCAAACTTATCATTGATACAACCGACAGAACCGAGGATCCCTTTATGTTATCATTACTAATTTTATATTATATTTTTGAATATTTATACTTGGCAGAATGTTTTGATTTTCTTCTTTTTTTCTTTTTTTCGAGATTATTGTTCGTTTTTATTGGTTAGTGTATAACAATACGTTTTGTTTTATTTTTCACAAATATATATTATATACGTGAAATATAATTGTGAAATGTATGTGTGTGATATTTACTTGATCAATGCCACGAATCTGAGAGCTGAAGACATCACTTGCCGCATTACATGCGGCACGAGCCACTTGTGATCGAAGATTCTTTACGTGTCGTCCTAGAAGCCTTCCTAGCGTTCCAGCAACGCAAACATCCAAATATTCTGGATGTTGCTTCGAAAGCTGAGACAAGGTTTTCAAACCTTTCATCGTTATTTCCCTTTAAAAAATATACAAAATATATATTCGTGAATTCTTATTTCAACGATAAACAGTGAAAAGCAATATTGCAAACAAGCAAAAAAGTATTGATATAGGACTAGCATTTACCAGTCTTTATTTTCGAGCTGCGACAAACACTGTTGCATCATTCGCTTGGATATTTCCGAGGGCTTCTCTGTAATTCTTTTGTTAGAAACCGCTCGATGTCTAGCAACACCCCGTACTGGTACCTTTGAAGGAAGTCTTCTGCGCGATTCAACAGTTTCCACAGGCTCAGACTAAGCAAAAGATTTAGCAAACAATAAGATTTTAATAAGAAAATAAGAAAGAGGCAATAACGAGCTGTACACCTGTGATGTTTGGGTAAAATTCTTCTTTATTCCGAAGATTTAAGAAAAATTGATGCAAACATTTCGATCTACTATGGGATCTTCTTCAGTGTCCAGTTTGAAAAAAAAAAAAAAGAAGTGGCAACTCAGTAACTGTCAACCGCACACAGGAATACGCGAAACATCCTCCCGCTTCGAAGACAACTGATTTGTCTGACTTATGTGTCAGTTGTCTTCGAAATAAGAGCATGTTTCGCGTCTTCCTGTGTGCGGTTGACAGTTACTGAGTTGCCATTTCCTTTTTTTTTTTTTTTCAAACTGGACACTGAAGAAGATCTTATAGTGGATCGAAACGTTTGCATCAATTTGTTAAATCTTCGGAATAAAGAATAATTTTACCCGAACATCAGGTGTACACCTCGTTGTTGTCTCTTTTCTATCTTCTTATTGAAACATAACACGAGCACGCGCGCGCGCGAAACATATATTTCAATAAGATTTTGTTTGATCTTTGCATTTATGTAAACAAACTTGTAATATATATATATAAGGATATAAATTATTAACATAGTTTTCATACGTATAAAAAATATTTTTGTAAAAGCTATACTAAAATATACTAAATTTTTGTAAAAGCTATACTTCAATTTTCAATATTCCTGGTTCCGTATTTGTTTCGCTCGCGCTATCTTTGCTTTGTTTGTCTTCTAAAGTATCGTTAACACTGGACTCCTCTTCCGTAGACTGAAAGCAATTTACATTAGCGTTCAAAATTTCAACTGAATAAAAAATAAACCCGTACCAAAAGCATCGATTATCTCTTACCTCCTGAACAGAAATCTTATTTTGCAAATTAGAATTGTCGACACTTCTCGAGTTCTCGACGTATTTAACAGCTTCGTGAGAATGGGGTCTCGACGCGATGACAATTGCCGGTGAATCATCGATTGTATCTACAGGTAAATGACCAACGGTGTCTAACGATCGAATGGAAGCATCCTCGTCAGGTACTATAGAAGCTATTATTCTCTCCTTATTGGAATCTCTGGTCTAATATTTAAACAAATGAACATTAGGTAATAAAAATACAGCAACGAGAAAGAAATAAAAATACCCTGATAACCAACCATGTTTTGCAAAATCATGTAACTTAATGCTGAGCTGAAGTTTTCAACTAGTTGCTGTGTATTTGCTGAATACATGATGCATAGTCATACGTAATCGACAACACGAAGGCAAATTTGAGACATTTTGTGTCAGCAGATTCAGAGCAAACAAAGA